GAATATTTGGTTGTTGAATATTGTGCTTCAATTTTGTTTGTGAATTGATAAATTTTGGTTGAATATTTGGTTGTGGAATTGATTTCGACAAACAAGTGTTCTATTTTATTTATGTTGTAAAATTATTGTTTCTGTACAGTAAAATTGTTGGTTGTTTGGAATATGCATAGAAAAGTGTTAAAGGACCGAAAAATGACAAAATCGAGCTGCGGATGGGTCACACGACTCGTGTGAGTAGGTGACACGAGTCGTGTGACTTCAAGAGATTGATTTTGTAGTTTCGACTTTTTCACACGGGTCGTGTGTCATGTGACACGGGTCGTGTGACGTTACACGACCCGTGTGGTTATGTCGTGTGAGTCTGGGAGTATTTTTTAGTTTTTTTAATTGAAAACGTATTGTCAGAATACGGTTTCCGAATTTCAATTAAAAAAAAATTCAAAAATTTTATTATTTTTTTAGTATATAAAATTTATATAAAAACAAAAAACGTTTGCTTAAAATACGTTTTTGTCTTTAAACCATATTATGAAAATACGTTTCTTATAAAACGTATTATGAAATTACGTTTTATTTTAATTTAGTTTTCTTAATCATATTTTATATTAGTTTAATTAAGTTAATCATGTTTAATAATTTAATTTGTTATAAAACGATAAATGAGAATACGTTTTACTTTGAAAACGTATCTGATAGTACGTTTTGCAATTGAAAACGTATTCTCAGAATACGTTTGTTTTATGTTGGCCGACAGACTTTTTTTTTTTTGTCTAGTTAATTTTTTTTTTTTGATTTAAATAATAAAATCCCATGGGCTTGATTTCCTAATTTTTTCCACGGTCATAACTCACTTTTGATTGTTTTGAATTGTGGAACGAAAAACGACGCCGTAGTGTAAATTTTGGCAAGTAAATTCACCTAAATAACCTTGCTACTGTAATTATAGTGTGACAGATTCACATCACTTTTACTTTACGTCACTGTCACGCTGCTTCTCACGTCTCCACTCTTGTGCCTTTTCTCAAACACACACAACCCCTAAATTTCAGATCTTCAAAGCGCTTACACCCAAATGGGGCTCTTGAATCTTCAACCCTCCTTGAAGCACCGCCACACCCGGCAATGGAGATTGCTGGATTCAATTACCGTCGCCTTCTTCACGGCGGTCCTACTCTTTTTCTCATGGTGTTCACCCCGCTCAGCCACTCGCTTGTGGCCACCGGGCGAAAGACGCTGCTGCGCTTGGATGCGCGCCACCGCGGGAGGCTGGTGGCGTTGGTGGACCTCGGCTGGCTGGGGACGGCCTATGCTTGCCCTGTCTGACATGGTGGACCGCATGCCGTGCGAGGATCCTAGAATCAACAGCCAGCTGAGCAGGGAGATGAATTTCTACGAGGAGGGGCATTGCCCCCGGTCGGAAGAGGCTCCACTTTGTCTGATCCCGCCACCGGAAGGGTATAGGGATTTGGTATAGTGGCCGGAAAGTCTGCATAAGGTATTGTTTTTCATCATTTTTCGTATTCAATTTATTGATTAATTTCAAATCATTGAAAAAGATTTGATTTTTAATCAACTTTGAGGAGATTTCAATGTGTTCTTCAAGTTGGGCATTTGGACTCTTAGTTTGTGTTGAATTGCAGACACTTGATGGACTTGCCCATACCCTGGCCCGAGTTTAGCTTTTTAATTATTCTTTGATGTGAAGCACAAACTGGTTAGTTTCTTATTTTTCAGAAACTGCGTTGAAATGACAAGAATGTTCGCTAATTTCAATTTTATGTTGTAGCTAATGCTGATCTAAAAGGTAATGTTGGAAGAACCAAAGAGAATAATAAGGTGAGAGATTTCTGCTGTTTTTTTGGCGTGACCTTCTTTGACTTTATTGATAATGATCACTTTATTGATAATCAGTGGATATATGAATATATTTGTATCAACCGAAGAGAACAATGTATAATCACTAATATTTTCCCCAAAGAAGTTCTCGATAAGATGCCACCCGTATGTTCTTTGTTCGTAGTTTGTGCAATGGTTGAAAATTGCAGAGCATTTACTCCTGCTGCCGTATCGAAAACATTGTTGGCTTCCAATTTTAAATTTTACTTTACCTTTGTTGCGGTTATTTGTTTTATTTTTAGTTTTAATCTCATCAATTTGACTATTTTGTGACAATTAGAAAATCTTTTCTTAATCTTGTGAATTGAATTATGGCAGCTGGAGATATGAAGAGATCGTCTGCTTATGCAACATTGACAGTTTCAAACCTGTGGGAACTAAGGTCTGAGGATGGAGGGGAGGTCGGTACAAATTAATAGCTTTAGATAATTTCTGTTGTTTTGCCGATTTTAGATTTCGTGTTTAACTTATCTTGGCAGTGGGTAATTTATAATATTTTTCTTATTTGTTACTAGATTCATGAATCTCGCTGGAAATTTTGAAAAGGGAGCAGGGTTTTGATCTAGGTTGAGTTTGCTACATTTCCTGATTGGAAGTTAATGTCTTTTTCCATGTCCAGTTTGTGTTTTGTAGTTTGTGCTGTGGTTTTGCTGCCTTAGGGATTTGATGTATAGGTTAGTGGCTGTTGTTTTGACGGGGTTCAAAGT